ATTAAACTTGTAAGTATTTTTAATATATTGTTTTTTAAATTTACTTTATAAATTTAGTTTATATATTAATATTTTTTATTTAATTAATAAAAGTTTTTGAAGAACAACCAACTATTTTTGTTAAAGCTATTGAAGTTAAAGCAATCATTCAAAATCAGCAATTTTGGTATGATGTTGAACAATTAAAAACGATTTTATGTCTTGCAAAGAATGCTATAAAGGCTCTTAAATTTACTACAACTACATTAGCTGATTGCTTTTTAAATTAATTAAAATGGCACGTGCAATAGCAGAAATTACATTTCAAAATTTGGAATTTAAAAAAAAGTGTATTGCTATTTTTAATAAAAGTTTGAAAGAATTTAATGTTGATATATATATGCTAGCATTTTTTTTCATCCTAAATATCGAGGTAAAATATTAAAACTTTATTTATTTTATTAAATATTTTAATTATATAAATTAATTATTATTTATTTAGCATCTAGTTTTCAACCAACAATTTTTAAAAAAGTATCAAAAACTGCAATAAATTTTTGGAAAAATCAAGGTGGTAAAAGATTAAGTGCTGATATTTTACTTACTTAACTTAGTTTATATCGAAATCATGATTATCCTTTTAATGATCCATATATTAAAGGTATTAATACTCCTATAAATTAGTAGACATCAATAGAATTAAAGAAAGGAGAAGATCATATTAGAATGCTTGCACTTCAAATGCATGCAATTATTCCTCATAATGCAATATATGAGTGTATATTTTCAATCTTAGAATAGTATCTTAGCAAACAGCGTATTAGGTAATTTAACAAAATTTATATTATTATAATTTTAGTTATTATTATTTAAATTACTTAATTTATTTTAGAATTAAAATAGAATGACTTCAAGCAATGACACAAATGTATTCATATCTTGTAACAAAAGCAAAATCAGAATTAAAATTTTTAAATGAAAATATTTCTTTAGAAGTTCTTGATAAAACTTTTGATTAAATTGCATCAGCAATGACAAATGGAAGTAATTTATTTAAAGATAATGAAGAATTTAAAACAAATTTTACTTTTGAACATAATGAAATTGAAGATATAGAAGAATTAAATAATGATAATTTAGAAATCATTGATTATATTGATTTATCAGCAAGTATATTAAATGCAGATAAT